ATATTATTTTAGCTAGATAATTAATTAAATAAATGTTAAATTTTATTTTTTATTGATAATTAATATTAAAAAAATACGCTTAACATGTACCATAAAAACATAAATTAAAAGAATCCATATGTTTTTAAACGTTGCAACCTTTTGGGAATCAAGTGCTCGAACCTCGTTTCATTTTTTTTATAGAAATTTTTATAATTGAGTTTTGATTCTAATTGATTTGGTTCACTGAAATACTTAAGTTGTAATTGATGATTAATAATTAATAAAATAATTAACTATTATTATTTATCAATTTAAGATCATGATCAGTATATAATTTAATGTTTCTAATTATCTTTTTTGAACTAAAGGATACAGAGGTACGAGCCTATAGAACAGATCCTGTTCAAGTAAGGTCGTATGTTTCCAATTATCTTAATATGCTATTTATAAAAAAAATTATAAATTAATAACACCAATAAAATTAAACACGCGTCTAATTTTCTATCTGATTTGTTGCCTCAGCACTCATGAAGCCAAACACGGTGTTGGTTCATGGGGGTAGGTGGAGAGGAGGGTTGGTGAATGGGCGTGACTTTTTCTGGTCAAATGAATGACCAATGAATGACACTGTCCATATATGTCTAGTCAATTACTTAGCATCCCAATTGCGACGCGCAATCATTTTTTTTTAATAATTATTTATTAATAATATTTTTTTAATAATAAAATTTTAAACATAACAAAGTAACATAAATTTTATTAAAATTTTTAATTTAGGTAAAATTATATGATGTTATATAAAAAACATCCTAACTCTTAGAATATTTATCATAATTATTGATTTTGTAAGTCTCAATTAAGAGCTATTTATTTGAGAGTTATGACGAATACCCTTAGTAACAAGATTTTTATTTTTTTTTCATGTATATATATTTATTTAATATTGCATAAAGGTTGCAAAGATCAAAACCAATATATATATATATATATTCTTTTTCTTTTGCCGGGCGGTGTCTTAAAATTATTTTGTCCTTGTTTGCGTTGTTTCCCCTTTTTTAAAAAACATTTTCACCTTTTTTTTTTTCAATTTTTCCTGGATATTTTTCGTTCGTTGTCTTGTCCTGGGTTGAATTTAATAGCAACAGCGATGCCGGTTAGTACCATGTATTTATGGGAGGCCACGGACTTTTCTTCATGTTTAAAAGAAATTTTGAGATTTGATGAAGTTTTTGAGGAGTTCTCCTTCTTCAAATGAAGTTAAATTACTTAAAAAGGGATTAGATATAATGGGAAATTATTTGTAAACAGATTAGATATAAAAGAAAATTGTTGGTATATATTTGATTTAATATATTTTTATATTTATTTAAATTTAATTATTAAAATATAATATAAATATAATTAATTTTTATATTATGTGTGTAAAATTATATTTTTAAATTTATTTATTTTTAATTTTTTATATAATAATAATTTTTAATCAATATATTAAAATAAAATAAATACCTATTGCTATACAGATATGAATTAACCCAAATTAGACATGAATTGACCAGAAGTATTCTCATTTTGACATTTTACCAACTTCTTACTAGTTTAATAACGTTGTCGTTGTCCTTTTTTTTATTTTTTATTTTTTATAATTATGATTATTAAAATTTAAATAATATTAAACTTAATTAAAAAAATTAAATGACTAAAAAAATTTGAAAAAATTACCAACATTCTAGCTAAATACTGATAGCTGACCAAATTGATGATCACACTTTGCCAGATTATCAGCCAATTCAGCATAAGATGACAACCCACTTTGATTTTCCATACCATCTATAAACAATAAATTAAGTGGCTGGGGACAATATTCTTTTGGCTAAAATTTTTAACTGACTTGTTGGCTTCTTTTTTATATTGTTATTTTGTTTAAATATTATTATTATTATTATTATTATTTCTAAATAAGTGTTACGAATTTCACTTTTATAAACACTAATGCTATTGTTTGTGTCTATTTGTACGTATCACTGCATATAAATGTGTATTTTTAATTTATATAAAACTATATATTTTGCGATCAAAATATAAAATAGTGAACAATATAATTTAATATACTATACATATTAGCAACAAAATCTATTCACATATCCATAGTGTGGTAATTTTGAATTTGCTGCTTCGGACAAAACTGAAATTCCTGGCAGTTTAAGGAAGCAAGTTGATAAGTTGATGGACGAAGGGAAACCTAAAATTTAGAAACTTAACTCTTGGGACATCTGTGTATCAGATAAAAATAATTAAGGACATATTTGATATAATAGTGTGAAAGTAACAATGTGCAATGTCGTGTAATTTTATAATTAATAATCGTTATTATTAGTAATTTAAATATCTATATTCATTAAATTATATAAAACTACTAATTTTTAATTTCAAACTATTATATTAGACAGTCTCTAAAAAACATTTAAGGTGGGAGTTAAAGGTAGGTCCAGCATACACACCTTGACGTCGAAAGAGGTTTTAATTCGGTGAAGGTCAAGGGTGGAAAACTGCGGGGGAGAGCAATGTTGAAGAAGAAAGACAATGTTATATTTTGATCCAACGCTCCAGGAGGGGTGGCAAAAGGCCACCTACTTGGTGAGGGATCACCACAAGGTCTCTAATTTAAGACTTTAAGCCTAGGTTCCTTCCCTTTCCCTTACCCCCCAAAACACATGTATATTATAATTGTCTTATTTCAAAAGAAAAAAAAATTATATTTTTAAATTTTAATTCAATATTTTTTTAATACAAAAAAGGAAAAAACACGTGGCAGCAAGGGAGGCGACAACAACCACCACAAATTAAAAAGGCCTTTTATGAAATGAAAATGGCAAGTGGGAACTTGGAAGTACCCATATCTTGCTTGCACCAAACCACACCAATATTGGATTCATTTTTCAAAATCTTCTCCTGGTTGGTGGAGATGTTATACTGGGTCTGCTGGCTCCACGTAATTTCAATTTTGGCTACAAAACAAAATTTGTTCTTGTCCTTCTTTTCATGGACGTAGTCCCTTGCCCATATGAGGTTTGTTCAATCTGGTCTCTAACCTCTTGATTGTTAAACTCAAGTTCCTAATTAACCCTTTTGCAAGAGTTGAAGGCCTTACCGGTATTTGAACCATTAATCTTGCCTTAAAGAACTAAATTTTTGAAATCATTAGTATGGGTGGGCATCAATAGGGTAGGTTACCCACTGCTGGTTTTTTCGGCTGTCCAAAAAATTTTTTTGCAATGATTTTTATCACCAAAACGACGCCAAAGATAAATTTTGATAATTGGTAACTTGCTAAAATTTTTTGGCAATGAAATCCTCTGCCATTGCTACACTAATACCTGTCAAATTCACTTGATACAATTTTTTCAATTGAAATTTTGAAGTGTTTTGTAACTTATGGGGAAAAAAAAATTTTAATTTACAATAGAAATATTTTAAGTGAAATTGGTAGGTCATATATTGAATGAAATAACTTTTATTTAGGGTTTGAACTTTAAAATGTTTTTTTATCAATAATTCAAAAATATATTTCTACACTTTAAATTTTAATTAAGTTTTAAAAAAGAAACAAAACAAAAAAGGGTTGACAGCCGTGACAGCCATGTTAATAAACTCTTGTCATTATTGTATCCAGATAAATTAATAATTATCATTTACCACTAAAAACCAACCTAGCTACCATTTTTTATATCACTGGCTTACCATTTTCTTTATGTTGGTTTGTTGTATTAATAATTTGATTTACTGAATTTATTGTACAATTTTCATTTATTAATTACTCATCTACCTCACAATGTCTTAAAAAAAAAACTTTTTTCTCAAATTAATTATCATTTTGACAATTGCAAAGTATATTAATGTCTTCTTGTTTCCATTTTCCACTTCATTAGTCTATCACAATCTCAATAAATTCTCAATATAATCTTAACAGGCTGTTTGGTCTGTTAATAATAAGACTTAATTTGTATTATTCGAAAGATTGGAGAGTTTGTTTGCACAATTTTTAAGTTTATGTTTGTGGGTAGGACCTTGTGGCTTTTACTCAATTTATATTAATAAAATTTATATTTTTGGCTAATAAAAAAATAAAATTGCATGTATTTTAGTCTTCAGAGACTAAAGTGTTAATTTGAATAAATTTGAGATCTTAGGTGGGGGTTTTGCTATTTAAAGTGTTACATATATTATAAATTTATAATATAATATATTATTATATTATATAATTAATCTTTTAATTAAAAACTTATTTATGATATTATATATTTTTATTTAACTTCATATAATATTTATTTAATATAATAATTATAATTATAAATTTATAACATAGAATTATTAGTATAATATAGTCAGTGTACCAACCAACTAGTTGTTGGTTTGAATAAATATAACTTAATTTTTTTTAAAATAAAATCTTGAATTTAAATTTTATGAATGAAAAAATAAACGTTGTGAGTTTTTTTTTATATAAAATTTAATCTGATTTAATTTTCAATTAATTACGGTTAAATTTGATTTTTGAATAAAGAAGTAGGTCAAAAAAAAAAATATATATATATATATATATTACCAGCGTTGTACTCGGTGTACTGTTTACCGTATTTATTTTCCTTATTTTAAAACCAGGAATCAGTGACCGCGTCTTCCACCAAGCAGCTACTGAACATGTTCCTTGCATTTAAATGTTAATTATTTCATCCAAACGCCGTCTTACACATTTCCGACGCCAAAACCAGGAAGCCGCCGCCAACAGAGAGTAACTGGACGTGTCATCCCTGAGCTCTTCCTTCAATAACCGATTTTGAGGTCCGTCGCGAATCTAATGATACGAATCCTGTTCTGCGATTCTTTTCAGGAATAAGCTTTTCTTGATTAGAATTTGATTATTTTTTAGATTTTCTTGTATTGAATTCGAAACGAGATTCCATGAATGGTTTACGAATATTTTCGTTTTCTGCAGCTATATATACAGGTTGGTGATGGAGGCTAGCGTCGCTTGCAAGTTGCAGTGTTCTGTATGGATTGATCCCGGAAAGTTTGCGAGGAATCCGAGCGGTTCCGTGAGGTTTAATGCGAGCTTAAGACGAAATGAGAAGATTCCGGTGCTTATTTCAGCTCAAATGCAGCCTCAGGGTATTCCAAATCGGCACAGATCCGTCTCTCTGAAAGCATCTTGTTCGTTCGAGAATTTTCCCGGTACATTCCCTTTTAGGCTTACACTAACTATACCGATTGAAAAGTTATTGCAGTTTTTTTTACTGATTTTGTGAATTAGAATGTTATGATGTTTGGAATTGTAAGCTTGGTTGGTAAAAATTTTCCTTCTTTCTTTCTTTCTTTCTTTCTTTCTTTTCTTTTCTTTTCTCTTTTATTTATTTAAAATACCCAAGGAAAATTAAGCAATCCAAATTCTTTCTGTTTTCTTTTGTTTTTTGTTTTTTTCTTTTTTTGTCTCCTTTTGGTTTGGTAAAATCTACCACTTTTTTTTTGAATGATTGAAAAGTTAAAAAAGTGTTCTTGACCTGTGGTAGTTGACTAATTTCTATTCTGAGGTATGAGTCAGATTCTATGTAGGAAACAGAAATCAGGGATAAATGGTTGGAAATAAAAGGTTTGATTCTTAAAGACCAGGGACAACAGTATGAAATATTTGGAGATACATATGATTTTGCTGTAAAGTTCGCTTCTTGCCCAGAAAACAGAAAGAACTCCTCAAAGTAAGATGTCTATAATTTTTAATGGAATCACAGGGTTAAAGAAACACTGATATTGGTGTGTTGACGTTGAGAATTCTAGAAGCTTGTTTTGCTCCCTCTCTGTTTTGTCCCTGTTTGTGTTAGACCAGTAACATACATGTCCATAAATTATTATTGATGCTTATCAGATTGAGTACTGACTATTTATTTGTAATATAACTCTTTGTATTTGTAGCAATATCGGAAACTGAAAGCTTTCATTCTTCTTTTGATGAAGCTTTAATTTTGAAGGTATGGACTAATTCTCTCCAAGGACTTTAAATTTGTGGGTTCATTAGTGTCTACTGTCTAGTGCTAGCAACAATTTTCTCTTATTGTCTTTCTTGTTACCTTGTGATTTTGGCATCTCTTTTTATTAAATATGGCTATAGGCTTAACTAACTTGTACCCAGTCTATATATTTAGCTTTGAGCATGTAACTTCATGCTAAAATGCTTTTCTGCAGAATAAGTCACAAGAGATTGAACCATATTTAAATGGGCGTTCAATATATCTGGTTGGTGAGTTTCCTTTGTCTCAATCCATCGTATTTGGATTTTAGTGAGGTAGTTACTTTAGTGGGTAAATTCTTTGAATGTATATTTGCAGGAATGATGGGCTCCGGAAAAACAACAGTGGGGCAGATTCTGTCTGAAGTACTTAGTTATTCTTTTTTTGATAGGTTTGTGCTATTACTGCCAGTGTTTCAAGCTCATCTAGTCAAAAAAATATTCATTCTCAATAAGCTAGTCAAAAAATGAGGGAAAAGTTTATTGTACTTTAGTGAGGAAGCACATCACAAATTTAATTTCTTCGTAATCAGTGGTTTCACTTTAGTAATGTGAAAACAATCCCAGTAACATGGAGGGCTCTGGGATCATGCACTGAATAATTGTACATCTTGCTTGTTCAGATTAGGTGAGGACAATTTGATGGTCCAGTCTACTTTCAGCATGTAGGAATTTTAGTTGATCTTGACTTATGCAAATAGTCCTCATTGCTGCATATCTACCTTTTTCCTTTGTGGTATCCACTATATATTCAGCAAACAGGCTCTTTAACTTCTAGTTAATTAGTATCTGCAATTTACATTTTCAGTGACTCATTAGTGGAGCAGGAGGTTGATGGAACTTCTGTGGCTGATATATTTCAGCTCTTTGGAGAGGGTTTCTTCAGAGATAAGGAGGTTAGTTACTAGTTGTGGGCTCCTCTCTTTCCATATATTTTATCTGAATTATTTAATAGTCGACAATCACTTTATGTGATGTGGATATAATTCCCCAAAATAATCAGGTGTTAGGGAGAAAGTTTGTGTTTTCGCATGACATTTTCAAATTGTGTTTGTTCAAGTTTTTCTATGCCATCATTTATGTTTGCTGATCTAGAAATGGGTTCATTTCACATGTTGTGATGCTGTAAAATGGAACTAGTGATCAAAGTGAATATTATCCGTCTAGATATATTTAGGAAATACTAAGAATTTCTGGAAGACCAGAGTGCAAAAGTGAATTAGGAGACTGTAGTGTTCTTTGTTGCAGGAATCTCTCTTCATTTCACTTTCACTTTCACTCTGTAATTCATTTTATGTGTTCTTCATTGCCAAAGTGAATTATATGCATGAAAGGTCATAGAAGGCCCGGGTGTTCTAATCTGGAATTACTCATAAAATACTGTGGCTTAGACCTGCATAAGATATTCGGGAAATGCTAGGGATTTCATCTTCACTCACATTTGTTCTCAAATAGGAGGTAGCTTTGCAGATAAATCTACACTTTATAATTAAGAAGAGCTATTTTTTTTCATGTTCTAGACTGAGGTATTGCGTATGCTGTCTTTAAGGCATCATCTTGTTGTTTCTACTGGTGGGGGTGCAGTCATACGGCCCATCAACTGGTATGAATGAATACAGTAATTATAATAGTAGAGCTTCTTCTCGTCATGGGTTCATTTTCTGTAACCTCAGTAATAAAAATCTGCAAGTGCCCTCTTTGTTTTATCAGGAAATATATGCATAAGGGAATTAGTGTCTGGTTGGATGTACCTTTGGAGGCCTTGGCAGAGAGAATTGCTGCAGTAGGTACCCATTCTCGCCCCCTTTTGCATCACGAATCAGATGATGCATACTTGAAGGTAATCCATTGCTGAAGTTATTTACTCTTTTTATTTGGACTCAGCTTTGTGGAAACTTGATTCATATCTCCAGTTTAGTTTTGACACTCATGATGCCCTGCAGACATTGAAGCGTTTATCTTCTCTTTGGGAAGAAAGGGTTGAAGCATATGCGAATGCGAATGCCAGGGTCTCCTTAGAAAGTACGTATGCTTCAGCCTATTTGTGCCTATTTGTCAACAATTTAAGATTTCCATTTTTTATTTGTTTCAATTTACTTTTCAAAAAGGATCTTCCAGAAGTATATTCAAGCTAGCAATTTGGACTTTAGAGAGTTTAGGGATAAGACTTTCAACCTTTTTACAAATTTTCATGACAATTCAATAACTTGATCCTTCTTTCTTATTCATCTTTTTTTACATCTCTTTTCTTTCTTTTTCCCCCTTAAGTCATCGTTTTACTGTGAAGTAGCAGCCCGATTATGCCCTTTGCGTCTGTCATTTACTTTGATGACAAAAGTGTTCAATTTTACAGAGATTGCAAACAAACTAGGTCTTAGAGATGTATCAAGTCTCTCGCCAACTGCTATAGCAATTGAGGTAAAACGCACATGCATATAAACCCCCACTACATGGACTTGTCAGCTTGGATCACTATTTATATTTAGGTCTCTTCTTTTAATTGTTTAATTTTGGTAGCTAATTGAATGCGTATCCTCACAGGCACTGGAACAAATTCAGGGCTATTTAAAGGAAGAGTGGTGAGATGGCATCTGCAAGGTTAAAGTGTGGACAAGCTCTGAAACGTGGTCCTTTAAGTTTTCTCTGTATAATTTATTAGTTTAGGCAAGCCAAAAACAAACGTGATTGGGTTTGTTTGCAATTTGGGCATCGCATGTGCAACGGTTCTAGTTTTAGTGGTGGATCGTTTCACACGCTATGCATTTAATTCAGCATTAGTGGAGTAAGACAGGGTTTAGACACATGAATCTGGATGTCACAAGTTGTACATTTATAGCGTGCGAATGAAGATTTTAATGTTTGCATATCTTGGTTGGCAATGTCTTGCTTAAAAGAGTATGAATCAAGCAGATAATCAGCAGTATTTTATGGGAACTAATTTAAATGATACGTAAAGTTGTATGAAAAAGTCATATAAAAAAATTGTTTTTCAACTATTTTCTCTATTTGAAAACGCATCTATGCTTTTCAACCAGAATGGTAATAGGCGAGTTAGCTCCATATAAATTTGGGAAGGCGGTTGTTTACACCACAAAAAGGGATTTTGGAGGAAACAGTGGTAGTAACCAAAACAAATGATCTGTTGTTTGGAAGATTATGAATCAAGAAGACGATCAGCAGCACCATATTGATACTGGACCACCGTATCCTAATTTTCAGCTTCATTAAGTTTGAGTAGATCAGATCGTTCTTCTGGGTTTCTTTTGGGTAAGTCGATGAAAGGATGATCAGCGTTTGGAACTTCACATAAATATCATGAGAACAAAGTTCGGGGAAAAATGGGATTGTCTATGTAAGTTTGGTCTTAACTTGCTAGTTTTACAATGTACAGAGCACAAGAATTTGCATGAGGACATACACCGGTACAAGGAGACAAGGAGCTGTACTTGACTGACTCCTTTATTTTATTTTATTTTGATCGACTTGGAAATTTCATTGATTAATTAAGTGCACTTGATGAGAATCACCATAATGACTCCTTTACTTGATTGCCTCCTTTATTTTGCATAAAGCACATGATGAGAATCACTACAAACTTTTAATAAATAGCTTTAAGCGAGTAATCCGACCAAGATCTGGAGATGCATGCATGTTTCCAGGTCCTCAATCAAAGAGTAGCCGGATTTCATTAGATGACACCTTAACACCAAAATCATAGGGCTCGAGTCCAAAGTTTGCTTGTTGTTTCCAAGACCGAAGTTTGCTTGCTGTTTCCAATTCGAGGGGAATCTGCCATCCATCCATCCATCTACCTCCTCCTCCTTCCCCCTTCCCTAATGATTTTCTTCAAACAAA